ACTGCTGAGCCATCCCTCTAGCCCCTTATTTATGTATACATGTCTTCATTTGTGCCATATGTGTGCAGATGCCCTCAGAGGCCAGAAGAGAGTGTCAGATCCCCCAGGATTGGTGCTCCAGGTGATTCTGAGCCCCTGACATGGGTGCTAGGACCTGAACTCTGTTTCTCCTTTTTGAGATGTGTCTCATGTAGTCAAGGCTAGCCTCAAACTCTCTGTGTGGCTGAGGATGACCTTGAACTTCTGATCCTCCTGCCTCTACTTCTGAGTGCTGGGATTAACCGATACTGCTACAGATTCATGAGGTACTGGGGTCGGGATCCAGTGCTTCATGCATGCTAGGCAAGTACTTTACCAGCTGAGCCCAATCCCAGTAAATTTTTTCAGAAGGAGGGGGGCAGTGCTGGGAATTCACAAGCTGAGTCTAGTGTTTATACAGGAATGCAAAGGGCTGAGGGTGGTCAAACTAATCATGTAATGACCAACAGCAAAGTTAACTTACAGTCATTATTTTTATTACTAGCACTGTGGAAGGACTTACTAGAAAGCAGCTATAACCACTGTTAGATGGCACGAAAAGAAAAATAATGGGGCTGGAGAGATGGCTCAGAGTTAAGAGCACTGGCTGTTCTTGCAGAAGACCCGGGTTCAAATCCCAGCACCCACATGGCAGCTACCTACTGTCTGTAACTCCAGTTCCAGGGGATCTGACAGCCTCTTCTGCCCTCCATGGGCATTGCACGACACGGGAGCACTTACCTACATGCAGGCAATACATGCATATACATAAAATAAAAATAACAAGTAAAATTTAAAAAAAAGAAAAGATAAAGATACAGCATTGAGAGCTGGCGAGATGGCTCAGTGGATAAAGGTGCTTGCCACCAAGCTTGATGACCTGAGTTTCAATCCCCAGGACCCACATGGTGGAGAGAACTGACTTCTGCAAGTTGTCTGATTTCCACACATGTGCTGTGGCATGTGCACACCTACCTACCTACCTACACGCAATAAGTAAATAAATAAACAGTAATAATTAAGAAAAATACAGCATCAAGCGCAGTTGAGTGGATTCTGTCCCTTACTCGTTTGTCTGTGAGGTGCTGGGGGTGAACCTAGGGTCTTGCCCATGAGACAAGTGCTCTACCACTGAGCTGCATCCCCAGTGTCAGCATGAGTTTTGAAAACCAAATAATAAAAATATTTAAATATATTTAATGTCCATTTTTAAAATTAAAAATTGGATCTGCAGAGACAGTTTGTAAACTGAGTTCAGATCTGTATTTCCCACGTAAAAGCTGGGCACAGTCCTTTGTGTTTATAATTCAAGTGCTAGTGGTGGGTAGATAGGTGGATCCCTAGAATGCTGGCCAGTCTAGTCAATCAGTGAGCTCCAGGTTCAGTCAGAGACCCTGTCTCAAAAAAGGGGGGGAAGGAGAAAGGAAAAACTGTCTCAATATGCATATGCAAACATGTGCATGTAACTAAGCATATACATTCTAACCCCCCCCCCAAAAAAAACCCACCAAAACAAACACCCTGAGCTAAACATCTATAGACCTCTCACCCAGCCTTGGAACCACTAGTGTGGTCTTGTCCCAAGGAAGGGAACTTGAGATCAACAGAAGTGGCTTCTCCAGTCATAGGGCAAATCTGTCAAAGTGGGAAAACGCCAGGACTGTCTCCACAGCTGAAAAGACGGCTAGGGAGGGATGTGCATTCAATGGTGGGTGTGGTGGCACACACCTGTAGTCCCAGCACTGGGCGGGTGGAAGCAGGATGATCAGTTCAAGGTCATCCTTGGCTACACAAAGAACTTGAGGACAGCCTGGAGTACAACAGTCTGTTTAAAAACAACAAAAACATCACACCTAAAACATTTAGACAAATGACCTAGGTCAGGTGCCAGTCATCCTGAACACCCAGCCATAGCTCCTTTCCGTTGTCACCTGATGGCTTGGTCCTTATTTAATTTTTTTGGCCTGGAACTCACTATGCAGACCAGACTGGCCTCGATCTCACTGAGATCTGCCTGTCTCTGCCTCTTGAGTGCTGAGATTAAAATTGTGTGCCACCACGCCTGGCGTGTGTCTACAGGTGTTTGGGTGTGTGTGCGTGCACGTGTATAGACTGGTGTAAATATGTTTACAGATATGTATATATGTATTTATAGATGTATATATAGGTCTGTTTATATAGGTGTGTTTATAGATGTGTGCATATCTATAAGTATGTGTATATACATGTGCATGTATAGAGAGGTATGTCTCTATAGGGGATGCGTATATATTTATAGGTGTGCCCCTGTATGAAATTTGGTGCCCCAGCACTAACTCGCTAGGGTCTGAATGCCACCAGGCCCTGTGCACTGCTGGAAGACCCAATCCAGCTTTCTGTGCTCAGGATCACTGGGCAGCATTTTCCTGCTGTTACGCTTGGGGTGAAACCGCAAAATTACCAGGAAAAGTACAACCAGGTGCTAAGCACGTGGTCAAGCAGGGTCTGAGGGAAAGCCCAGCATCATCTTGTTAAGTTTGTTCATCTGGGATGGTGCAGGCCTGAAGCACAAACTCTGGTCCATGAACGACTGTGAAGGTTTTGGGGTTACAAATGTTCTGAGTAGGTGAATTGGCCAATAGGGAACTGAACATGCCTGTGATGTGCTCAGGGCCTGGCCAGTGCCTGCTGCTCAGCTCCTGGTAGCATGCCCTCTCCACCGTATTGGCTCCTGGACAACTGTCAAAGGCCTGTGCCTGGCAGTCTTGCCAAAGATGAGGCACAGCAAACACAGCAAGACCCTACTCCTACAAGCTGGTATGAAGGGCGGGTCAGTACCTCCCAGCTGTAAACCTGTGGTCAAGAGGACGCAGTGTGGAAAGAGCCAGCACTCGCTTGGCAGATGCCAGACGTAAGACAAAGCTTGGCGAGATGACTGTTGTTTGAAGCCATGCACTCCTGAGCTTCTTTGCAAGCACCCAGGCCCAGAAGCCCCCTGCGGGATTGCCAGGCCACTTTCTGGCCATTAATCTCTGAGTCTTTCAGGAGCACTTGCATTAGCCCATCTTAAACCCCAGCTGGGCCCTGGAGGGCCTGCAGCGGGCCTGGGGAACAGTGGAGCTATAGCCAGCTGGGGCTCCTGGTGTTCAGTGCCCCCTTGGACCGGGCACTGCAGCTTGCCATCTGTGCCCTGGCCAGACCTCCTGTGGGGCTGTAGGGCAGGCACCCAAGATGGTCACCACATGGGAGGAAACTATTAATAGACAAGATGGACCCCTACTCGAGAGGCCAGGGGCAGGGACTGAGGTACACTAGCTGAACTTCCCACTCCAGTTCCAATGTGAGTGGGGCTGGGTCAACTCAGCAGGGATTCTACTGAATCCCAACCGTGGGCACAGGGCGGCCAGCGCCTGTGTGTGTGTAGGCAGGGGTGGGGTGTGTGGGTAGGATAAGCCTTCCTGAAGACAGACTGGGCAACGCCCACCTCTGCCTCCCCAAACGCAGACTGCCCTCGGTGATGACCATGCAGCTTTCTTAATGGAACACAACCGCTGAACTTGGTACATTTTGAGCACTTTAGGTTTCCAGGACGGCAGACTGCGGATGGAAACCATCTTCGGAGGGCGGGCGCCATGTTAATGAGAGGCCAAATTTCATAAGCTTGCAAACTTTCCCCCCTGCCGCCTGCTGCTCTACACCCCCCCCTCCCCCAGAAGGCTGCATCAGAGAGAAAGGGAGAGAGATTTCCATAATTTATAGTACGGGCATTTCACTGGGGACAAGCGCTAATCTGTACTTACCGATACATTTAAGAAAATGCATCCTCCCGCAAGCCTGCACCATTTATGACTCTTGGCACAAACCGCAATGCTCAGTCTTCAATTAAGGGACACCTTAGGGTTCATTATCACACAATCGCTCCCTGTGAACCATGCCAAATGCTGTTTTGGCACTGAGCTTGGAAGATGAATTAGAAGGAAGTCTTCCCTGTGATACCCTCTCCCCAACTTCCATTACCGGCATCAGCACTGACGCCCTCCTGGCCGGCCCTCCCCCGCCCCCTCCCCCAGTAGCTTTCTATTCAATTTCTCCACATCAAACTCGATTCTCTAGAGGTGTAGTTAAAGATGCCACATCTCCTTTCTGTCTTCCGGCTCTCAACAGGCCTCAGTGCGGCCCAGATGGGACGCTCTCCATCCCCTTTTGGGCTAAAGGAATCACAGATGTCTCTCCCTCTAAGAGTGTGTGGTGGAGGCAAGGGCTGGACACACACTCCATAAAGGGGGTTCTAGGCAGCCTAATGGGCCTGAGTGTCTAAACTGAGACCACCCCACGTAAAGGCTACAGGCGAAGGCTGAGCAATGCAGATGCTGTGGCAGACAACCGAGTCCAAAGCCAGTGGCCTGCAAATGATGACGGGGAAAAGAGGTCTTCTTGTCCCGTGGTGGCCTGCAGTGGGAGCAAGGTGGGTGAAGGTGCTCCCTTTGTGTTTTGATGAGAGAACAAATGGTAGGTGTTTGCAGCTCCTAGAGCCCAGGGTCCCCACCCGAGACTGGGAGAACACACACCACCCACCAGCGCCACGAGTGAGTGCCGACACAGGAGGCAGCTGCCAGGGAAACAGCAGCCAGTGGGCAGGCCCTGTGTTTTTAGGTGAGTGTGTACCAGGGTGTGTGGGAACTGAGGAGGGGTCTCAGGGTGGCGTGCTGACCCGACACCTCTCCCAGACCCACTCAGGCCTGTTTTCTGCATGAGGAAACTTCAGTGATGCTTCAGCAGTGCCGGGTCATCAAAGTGCTGCAGTCCGACAGGGAAGGAGCCGGATCCTCATGGTGGCTCTTAAGCCAAATGGTCAACTGTGTAAAGCCACTTTAAACAAAATGAACTTCATGTGGTTGCTGCCCAAGCTGAGCACAGTTGGGCAGATGCAGGGCAGGCAACAGCAGCAGCAGGAGCAGCACCCTGTCCTACTCAGGGCCGGGAAGGAGCAGCAGGCACAGACGGATATTGTCCACAAGACAGCTTGTGGGGATTTTATTATATAGAGTGTAAAATGAATTGTCAGTCAAATAAAAAGAACACTTTTTTTTTTTTAAAACAACATGCATAACATTTTCCAACTGCCTTTTTTTAATAGTTAGACATTTCAAGCATTGTAAAGAAAATAAAGAGAAAAACCCATAAACTGTAACTTAAGCACACTTCAAACGGAATGTTCCTCAGTCAATTCAAAATGCAAGAAAAAATAGCTTCAATTCCGTTTTTTCCTTTAAAAATACATGTTATCTGTACAAGATACACTACAGTAAACACTGGAAATCATATTATCCCTTTTATTAAATCAAAATTATTTAATTCATACTGTGGTTAATACTAGATTTATTTCTCCATCTAGTTCATTTGAGAAATATTAAGAAAATATTTAAAAGAAAAAAAGAAAAAACACCCTGGAATTAAAAAATAGTTACTACATTTTTATATGGTTTAATGTCCACAGTGTTTGTTAAAAGTTATATTGAATTTCTTTTTAATATTAAAAATAACAGTATTTATATTTCTGAGAGAATAGAGAAAGGCTTTTGTTTTGTTTTTAAAACCAGCTTGGAGGTCTTAGACACACAGTTGCAACTGGTAATGGAGACATGAAAAAAAGAGTACGCTAAACACGTCGACACATCTTTATATTACCCTTTAGAACCCTAGAAATCATACAAGCCTATAAAATGCCCCTCCCGCCCCTGCTGGACAGCAACACATGACCGGTCTCAATTCAGAATTCACATCATTAATTACAATACATAATAGTTCAGCTTTTTAAAAAATGCAATAAAACCAGACAGCCAAGATACAAGAAATTAAAAGTAAAACACTAAATGAATTTACACATTTAATATTTAAATACTGTTTAAAAATTTCTTAAAGAATTTGTTACATACCACCTAAGACTTCCAAGCCACTTTTCTGTTGCAAAAAAAACTGTAAATAAAAAGACACAAAAACAAAACCAAACAAACCCACCATGGTGATGAAATGCCGCTGCTCTGAGCCGAGTCCCAGCGCCTGCTCTTGCAGGCTTTGCTCCAGAAGAGCCCCAGAGCGTACACACATTTGAAATAACAAACAAAAAAATCATGACACAGAAATTACCAGCAATTTTTAGTAACTAATTTTCTCAATTTTTAGAAAATTTCTGTTAATCTAAATATAGTGTTTCACAGAACAAAACAAAGTTCTTCATCAAAAGGTTTGCAAATCTAAAACCTCTGTTACAAACAGGTTTCTCTCACACTGATTTCGGGGAAGAGCCGCTGCAAACGCCCATCTACTGCTCCTGTGGGGGGAGGGAGAGGGTCAGCGTGACGCCAGGCAGGAGTGATGGCGCCACACATCACCAAGCACTGGAGGCAAAGCACCTCAGTGTTGAGGTCAGGAAACCCCTCTGGAAGAGGACAGGCTTTTTCTTCCTCTGGGGACACTCGGGAGGGACAAAGGGAGAGGGCCAGTACTGTTCTCTAGGGTCACCAGTAGCCCTAACACCAGATTCCCCAGGCCTAGCCCAGACAGTGGTGGGCAGAAGATGCCAGAGCTGGAGGGAACTGGCTGCCCACAGGGCCTGACTAGCATCAGGTCCCCTGTGGGAGCATTTGGCCCTTTTCCCTGCTTTAAAGACAGTTGCTGGCTGAGGACTGGACAGAGGCCTCCAAGTTTCTACACACGGGGGAGTCAGGCTGGCACTCCACCTGCCTGGCCTGGAGGGCATGGATGCACCCATCACCTGCTGCTGCCTACTGACACCCAAGCAAAGGCCGCAGCCTGGGCCATGCTCTCTTCAAGAGCAGCTTCTGGAGTGGTCCTCAAGTCCCACTGAAGAGCCAGGTAAAAGCTTGGCACTCATCTATAGTTAGGGAAACTAAGGGCAGAGCAAGAAAGAAAGCAGAGCTCGGACCAAGCTGGAAGCCGGGGCACACTCCTCCTCGCTTCTATTCCACCAGGACAAGGAGGGGACAGGAGACCCCACAGCCCAGTGTGCTCACCCTGGGACCAGGCAAGCACAGAGGCTGGGGAGGCAGGGTGAGGGCTGCTCTGGGAGGCGTCACGGTGCTGGGGACTGGCTACAGACCTGGCTGTGGGCCTGAGCCTGCCCTAATGTCTGGCCGTAGAAGGCGACCTGCTGCCTGTAATACTCCGCCCAGGCCATCGTGTAGTCCGGAGAGCTGGCCTGAGGAGCAGCATTGGTGGTGTGACCTGATTGACAAAGGAGAAACACTCAGTTGAGGGAGGGAAAGAGGGTCCTTCCCTAAGGCCTTGGGGCATGTTCTTCCTCTGGACTGCGTGAGGGTGGCTGGGCTGCTGCCATGCCATTTGGTGCTGTAGAGGGACTCATGACACAACAAACTGTTAGCCTTTTGTTGCTGGCCTCTACGGGCCAGCCCTGCACCTAACTGCCTGCCCAGCAAGTCCCAGTGCCAGAAGACAAACAGCACGGAGTGGGAGAGAAACCGCGCGGAGCAAGGCATTCATTCACATGGGGTCTTTCAAACAGGCTTGGGGAACCTGGAATGTGGGTTTCTCTCTGGGGGCACAACAGGCACCTGAACCTCCCCCCAAACTCACGGTGGGGAGATCACCTAGACTCCAGGCTTGGCACCCCAGAGGCCAGTGGCCCAGAGATGTTTCTAACTCTAGGATCAAGAAGCTTCCGACAGCCTTGACCTGGCCTTCTGACTACAAGTTGTGCTTTCAGATGCAAGATCCCAGTAGTGGAGCCCAATTGACCCACAACTGGCTGTAACTGGAACACATGCAGGTGCCAAGGGTTAGCATCCCTCAGGCCTCAGATCTTCACATAGTAAAGAAAAAGGGCTTCCACAGGGAGAACACGACATCAGCACCCAGAGAAGCGGCAGGCTCCTTCCCTGCAATGTGACCACTCCTCTGCCCTGACACAACAGTCACTAACCACACCTGGCATCATCTGAGGGTGTGAGGGAGGGAGACAGGCATCGAGCCCCAGTCACGCAAGGAGGGAACCAAAAAACAAGGTGACACTATGGACAGCGAAGCCCAGGGCAGGGCCTGTGCCGTGGGGCGCACTCACTCTGCTTTTTGTAATAGTCCTCCCAGGCCTTGCTGTAGTCGGGCTGGCTGCTCTGTGGCTGGCTCTGCTGGCCTGTGCAGAGAACAGAGAGCAGTCAGGCCGTGGGGATCCTCACAGTCTCGGGTCCCAGGGGCTCCCTCCTGGCTCACTCAGGGCCCCAGCCTGGAAGTTACAGCAGGCCACCAAGCAAGGCTGCAACTGGGGTCCTTGGGGAGGCAGGCCTCCTAGATTCCCTGGACCCAGCTTCCAAGAGTCCAAATGGTGCTGGTATCTCATCAGGCCCTCGGGCTCCATGAACACGGCTGTCCCTCTGGACAAGGGTGGTGGGTGGTGGGAACCTGAGCTGAGCCTGGCATATAGGCACAGGCCTGGGGTTAGAAGACAGATACACATGGTGCACATGGTGACGGCAGTGCCATCAGGCATCCTGTCACCCAACTGCGACCTTGCCTCAGCCTTTCTGCATGAGATCGTGCTCTGTGCAGAGTCCTGGGTGCTCCTCTCTGCTATCAGCAGAGGAGCCTGGGATGAGAGACGACACCAGTGTCAGTCAGCAGCCTCGGGCTCAGGGGCAGATGAACAGAGGACAAGGAGACCTTTCCCTGTGGAGAGGTCACGGCTGGGACCTGCCCACAGAGGCCCTTCATGTCTCCTGTCAAAATCAGTCTGCAGCAGAAGAGGATGTGCCACAGCTCAGCACGATGTCCTCTCCATGTTAACTTACTGAAGACAGATGGATGGCAGGGGAAGAGGAGCCACTGAACTTCTGGACAGGAAGATGTAAGGGAAGAGGTATCCTCTTCCTTCCCGGGGGCAGAAGCATAGAAGGGAAACTAGACAGCCTGTCTGCCCTCAGACACACAGGGAACGTGCAGGACCGCTCCCTGACCTGTTTGCACAGGTCCTGAACTGTAAGCAGGCAGAGCTTAGCCACACAGGCGGAGGCCGCCGGCCCTCCAGCTCCTTCCCATTGGGCTCGCCTTCAAGTGCTGCTCAATTCTGACCCCAAGTGTAACCTTCTAGGGCAGCTTTCCTCTCAGCCTCAGTCTGGGCACCATGTGGCAAATGGGACCATAACCCTGCCATCTTGCTGCCAGGGGAGGATGCAGATCAGAACGGTACCAACAACCCCGACACCCCACTTCCAGGAGGCAAGGAGACAGCGACGTTTTTCAGGAAGACAAGAAACCAGGAACAGTGCTTACAAGCTCTGGGGAAGAGCTGGCCCCACTGGGGGCAAAGGGTGGATCCCCAGGAGGAAGGTAGCTGCTCACTGTGAAGCACCACCCAAGCTTGACATTCATGTAATCAGACTTTGTAAAGGTGTGTGTGTGTGGGGAAACCATACAGTTTCAGAGCTGTTACAGACTTTTGAAATCAAACCCAAATCCTTTCATTTTGCAGAAAGGAAATGTAGCCTCTGTGGGCGGTGCCTAAGGTCACACCTTGCTGGCCAGCAGCCTCTGTCCAGAAGGCTGTCCTTTCATGAAGAACTGGAATTGCAGGGCATTCCAAGAACAACTGTTTGTTTTCAGAAAGACAGCAGAGACAGCACAACTCACTTCCTGGACAGACTCACTCAGCAGAGCTGCTTTTCTACCTGCTTGTTTCCTGACAAAGAAGTTCAGGTAACATGAAAACCCTTTCTGAGAAGGTGCTAGAGGGAAGAAAGGCCACCTCGAGGCAAGATGAGAACATGGAGAGAAGAGGGCAGGAGAGGCTCTACCGAACCACACCCACCATCCTACCGAACCACACCCACCATCCCGCCCACCACACCTGAGAAGGCCATGTGAACCAGGGAAAGCAGCTACAGGTTCCTGCCTCTTGTGTTCACCAGTGCAGGGCCTGGTGAGCCCACCTGTCCGGAGAGGAAGAGAACTGGGCACTTTATACCCCCAGCCCCCTGGCTCTCTGAACCTCAGCCTGGTGTGTGTACCTTCACCCTCCTGTGAATCACTTACTTGGGACCTGCTGTGTGGGCTGCTGCCAAGCCTGGTAAGTGTTGCCCCAGCCTTGGGTCAGAAAAGCTGGAGGGCCACTGTGGATGACAGAAGAGTGCTTCGTGACAGTGCGGGTTGCGGGTCCCATGGCCCTCCTCCCTGCAACCCAGTCGCCTGCCTCTACTGCTTGCCTCCCTCACCCTCACCAAGCACAGTGGGCCCTGCCTACAGGCAGAGGGCCAGTCAGTCCCGGCCACCTACCTCACAGGGGTGCTGTGGGGGTTTCCATTCACTTTAGCAGCGATGTTGGGGAAGCCCCTTGGAGGAAAGGTGCTGCAGGAAGGGGAGGGGCACTGCTGAGCTGGAGGCAGGGCAAGGCCGCCCTCGCTACAGCTACGGCTACGGCTACGGCTACGGCTAAGGCTACAGCTACGGCTACAGCGCCCCTCCACCCAGGCAGGTGTGCCCCTTGGAAAGGGGTGACACAACAGGTCTCTCCTGCCTGGGGCGTAGGCAGGTACTTTGGAGAGAAGCAGCCAGAAGTGGCTCCCGGGTGATGAAGCCTGGTCAGGATGGAGAAAGACTCACTTTTGATGTGGCGTGGCTGGCGGCTGGCTGAAGGGGCTCTGTCCAAAGGCTGCAGGGGCTCCGAGGCTGGTACCCTGTGTGGGCACAGAAGAACTCTCACCCCTGCCACTGTGACACCTCACCCTCTGCCCAACCCAGGCCCACCCAGGGCAAAGCCCGCTCTGGGAGGCAAGTCAAGTGACGGAGACAGCTCTGAGCTCACACTAGCTTCCTTCCCCCAGCAGACGGTGTCTGCGGCAGTGGCTCTGCCCCTTGAGTGACTAAGACCACCACACAGCCAGTCCTGGTACCACCATGATCGCCCTGGCATGTCACCCTGGGGGAGGACCAACCTGCTTGACTCTCCCGTCAATTTAGGCTGGCCCAGGGCTCTTTCTGCCATTCTACGTCCCCATTGAGGTGAGCAGTGGCCCATCTGTCCTCCATCAACACTCCCTTTCTTTATCTGCTTTGAGGTGCCTGAAACTAAAGCCAGAGTCAATGAATGCTGCCTGCAGGGCTGGCGGCCTGGGGAGGCCTGAGGGAGCCGGGCATGCCGGGGGAGGCTGCTGTGCCTGCTCATCTACCCTGCAGGGACATGCTCGGGGACTGACTGCTGCAGCCTTTCCAGTCATGCCAGAGGCTTCTTTCACTGTACCTGGGCCTGGGCCTGGCATTCCCTGGGCCCCAGACCTCTTTGGCAGAGGAGAAGGGGTTGCCCTCATGTGAGGCAAGGATAGAAACGCATGGGAAGCACAAGGTTCTGGGGGGAAGCAGGTACCTTGGACATCCAAAAGCAAATCCAGCTAGTATAAGCCAGGTAGGGAAAGGCCTGTGTACGTACACCAACTTTCTCATCTATGAGATGCCTGGCCACCTCGATCTGCTGCGGCGAGCCCCTGATGGTGAATATCCGCAGGTTGGGGTCGGTGTTAGGAGGGGGGTTCCGCTGAAGTTCCACATGTGCGCCTGACTGCTGATTGATATTTTTGATGTTCTCACCCCCTGCAGGCAGAAGACAGCAGGTTAGTGGGATGGCAGCACTGAGGCTTCTAAGGTGCTATGCTCAGGGGAGGCCAGAAACTGCTTCCAGCATGCTAACTCCTGCCCACACCCATCCACTCCCCTCTGTTTATTATACAACGGCTCTGACCAAACTCAGGGCCTCTTGTTTGCAGCCCAGCTGTCTGGAGCGAAGCTGACCTTTTGGAGCTGGGCTGAGGTGTCTGGCTATGGAGCCTGGTAGAAGCGCCAGGCCAAGGCCCACGGGTTTGCCTACCATGGGGCTCAATCCTGGTGGCAGTTTGCCACTTCCACCCAGGGAAGGTCTATCCTTCTCAATGTGGAAATGGTGACCCAATGGCTCTGTCATGCACAATGAGGGCCCTTTAGCCTGGGCATGGGCCACTGGATAGGCCACCCTCCCTCCACAGGTCAAACAGGCAGCCACAGGCCCTAACAATGCCCAGAGCCCACTTAGGCTGTCTATCTCCCACCCTATTCCCTATTAGGTCCCTCCCTTTCTGGGGCGGGGGTGGGGTGGGGGTGGAGGGGTGGTCTAGACAGAGGCATTGCAAGGAGGGGGGTCATGAGGCCTGGGTGGAGTGGGGTAATGAAAATTTAGTTGCACTCTCTGAAAAACCTGAGTCTCAGTCTCTTAATGAAATTTGCGTAACAAAAGATCCACCAGCCAGTGAACAACAGGTCCAATTCTTCTGGAATTTCACAGAACTTAATAGATCTACAGTGTCAACTTGGGGTGGGGGGTAGCCAGAGTACAATCTACAGTGTCAACTTGGGGTGGGGGGTAGCCAGAGTACAATCTACAGTGTCAACTTGGGGCCAGAATACAAGGAAAAGTCAGAACATAAATTCTGCAAAACCGAAACAAGATAAAATGTTGAAACCCTGGTAGAGGGGAACAGGGAGTCCCAGGTGCTCATAAGCCTTACCCTGCCCACCCTCAACTGGACACAGCCTGAAATGACAAGTGTACTCCATCCTGCTGTCCCCTCCCACCCCAGCCTTCCCTCCTGTCCCATGGCAGGAAAGTAGATCTAAGCATAACCAAGTAAGTGGGGTGGCTGGCAGGGGGGCAGGGATAAGCTTTGTTTTATCACATCCAAAAAGGGAGACAGGACTCTACAGGGGTCAAGAAGCAAAACTGGAGGCTCTCCTGGTGAGCCTATCTGAAGACAGAGAGGCAGGGGCTCACGGTATTGGAGGCATATACATGAGGGCTTTCTGTGTGGCAGTGCAGCTGCAAAGGCCTCTTTGGCCCTTTCCCCAGACCCTGTCCTTCATCATCTCTGCCCCATGAAAAAGTGAGCTGTTTTGCTAGGCAAGTTTTAGAGGCCCAATGAAGAGCCAAGAAGAAACAGACCACGTGCATAGGCACCTCCAACATTTGGGGGTCTCCTATCAGTCTAGTCTCAGAAGCCCCGGGCAGAAAGCGAGAGAGCCAGAACCCAAGACTGAGGGTCTGCAGGCCCCAGAGAGCAGAGCCCTCGCCACCCTGCCTTAGGCTCTGCACCAGCAGCTGAGACCCTCTGCCTGGAGGACTCAGGAGCATGCTAATAAGGTGAAGAGGCACTGCTAAACTGCACGGGGCCAGAAGGAGTTAATTTAAGTTCATCTTCCTTCAAAATGAGGTCACCAGCTTGGCACATGGTGGCTGTCCACTGACTCGCTCCGTTCTTCCACCTGATGGGGGACAGAGGCCACCCACCAGTGGCCCCCGGCTGGATGTGAAATCGTAAAGCAATTAATCAAAGCTGCTAAAAGGCCTGGCTGACAAGAGCAGGGCTGGCCACACTATCTGTCAATGTTGCAGTGTTTATCATGGAAATCCAGCAGGGGCCCAGGAAGCTGCGCTTCTGTCCAAGGGCAGGAGTTGGGAGAGCTGCGCCTGGCTGTCTGGGCTCCCTCTCCCTCAGCCACAGGCCTTTCCCAAGAAAAGGAACAGCCTACTCCAAGACTCTCCACACCTAACGTATCTGTGACAGGGACAGTGTGTGGTTTAGTGAAGGGCAGACCCCCCCCCCCCCATTGTGGTGCATACTTGACATTTCCACCAGTTTACTGAGACACATTCAATTGAACACATCACAAGATGGTCTTCAAAAGGCCAAGACACCAGGATCTGACCCTCCCCCCCTACAGGAACCCACAAATTTACTCTCAGGACTTAGTTGACAAGAAGTGTGGGATGTGGGAACATTCTCATTCTAAGAAGCTAGCAGGATCCAGGACACATTTAGCAGCATGCACCAGAAAAATCAAAACAAAACACACCGCGAGGCACACTGTGGCTAACAAGGAAGGGGATCAGAGGCTGAATCTGAACTACCTGCGAAGACAATCTCAAACAAAAGCAAAATCATAGTGCCACTGTTCCTAACCCCTAGGAGACATGGGTACAGGAGCACACACACTGTTCCAAGTAGGGATGACAGCAGACTCGAGGGGCTGGGGGTGGTGAGGGGCAGGGCTTGGGTCTACTGCTGGAGACAGCCCAAGCCACATTCCCTGCAACATGAGTACCGCCCCCCCACCCAAAACAGCTAAGGGATATCTGGTGATCAAAGAAACCTGAGAAGCTCCGGGGAGTAGATAGTACTTATTTCCTCCATATGCTGTCAGATGAACAATGAGGAAAACACAAAAGCCAGTGCCAATCAGAAGTCCTGCCAGGAGCAGGTTCAGCCCAGGGTCCCAGGGAGGCCAGTCCTGACAAGGTGGTGCATGACCTTGCCGGCCTGCTCACTCCTGGCTCTCACTGAAGGAGAAAAGCAGCTATGCAGGCCAGGACCCAGGCTGCCCACCTAACATTCTAAAATGTCCCTACATGTCCAGGAAAAACAAACCAATTTTCATTTCCCTCCAGAGTGTCTGCTACTCATGGGACATGTGTTGCTGAAAGGCTAAGAGGGAAATCTGGTGAAGGAAAGAGGCAGTTCTCAGGCCAGAAAGCACTTTGCTAAGGGCTGAGTTTAACTGCCAGTCACTTCCCTGGGGCCAAGTGCACTCCCAGCAGTCTATGGACAACAGCCTGAGCAGCCCTGGGCAGTGGGTTTCATTTTTCATCTGCCCATACTCAAACATGTGCCTTGCCTGTCTTGACAGGCCACGTCAGGGACCCCAGAGGACGCCTGCACAAAGCAGGCCCGGCAGTCAGCGGTGCACAGGCATCGCCTCCCTGGAGCAGCTGCAGGGAGACGGGACATGCCGACGGCTGCCTCTTACCTTTGCCTATGACGAGACCACACTTGTCTGCGGGCACAGTGTAGGTTATTTCCTGGATCCCACTGGGAGTGCCCATGCTCCAGTCACCACGACTACGGCCTCTTCCTCTGGTCACTGCCAGGCCCCCGAAGCCATCTCTTTCCTGGGAAGGACATAAGGATAGTGAGGACTTCCACCACTGGCATATTTCACCATCTCTGGGGAAATGCTGAGTGACAGGATGTACTTAATGACACACTGCAGAAAGATACGTGTGGTCACATACTTGCCCAAAACAGGAAGGCAAAAACTCAGGTTTGAAGCCTGGAACCTCTCCCTTTCTTCATTACAGGGTCCTTAAGACCTGGCTTTGCTGGAAGCTGAGGTAACTCACATTGGTCCTGTTAGAGCCAGGTATTAAATGCTGAAGAGCTCTAAGCATTTGAAAGTGGCGGGGGACATCGTGTGACTCGTGAACTGTCCCTGAGCAGGTTGCTTGAAAGGACAACTCATTCGCTGCTTTCTAAACTACATCGTCTTGCTGTCTAGCCAACAGAAGAAACAGAAGGATTTTGAAAAAGTTTCTTGAGTTGGCAAAATGGCTCAGTGCGGAAAGGGGTCTCGCCACCAAGCCTGACAACCTGAGTTTGATCCTTGGACCAATATAGTAGAAAAGACAGCTCCTGCAAGTTGTTCTTTGACCCCAACAAGGGCCCCATCACATGGACACACGAATACACAATGAATATGTAAAAATATAGTAAATTTAAAGAATATTTTATTATTTTTTAATTTTATTTTATGTGTATGAGTGTGTTGCCTGCATGTAGGTAAGTGCACATGTGTTGTGCAATGCCCTCAGCAGTCAGAAGAGGGCGTCAGATTCCCTAGAACTGGAGTTACAGATGGCTGTTAGCCACCATGTGGGTACTGGGATTGAAACTCAGGTCCTCTGCAAGAGCAACCAGTGCTTTTAACCACTGAGTCATCTCTCTGGCCCCTCATTTTTTGCTCCCAGAAAACTTAGAAAGAAACTCTAAAGTGACTTCTCAAGGTGATTTCTGAAGGGAGAAACTAGTTGGGCATGGAAGAACATAGCCATAATCCAGAACCTAGAGGGCTGAGGAGGAAGACTGACAGTTGGAAGGCCAGCCCAGAGTTCATAGGGAGATGCATTCTTTAAATAATAATAATAATTAAAAAAAAAAAATGCCAACCCAAGGTTCGGTGTGTGGGGGATATTATTAGTCTGGTCCCATGTTGCCCTAACACAAGGAGTTCTCTCAGAGGCAGCAGACCTCATTCTGGTCTTTGGCCGCTGCACACCACCAGAGCAGCAGGACTTGGTCTTTTAAATGTTGGGGCTAACCTGGTCAACCAGGGACGCAATGGTTGTTCAACACAGTGAAGAATTATCTGCCAAAACCTGTGTGTGTTGACTACATAAGCCGAATACTCACCTAGAATCTAGAGCAGCAGAGCTAACTGACTGCTTTTCTCTGCACTCAGCTCTTAGGAGATAATTCTCAAGTAAACAAGGTACTTTGAGAATTTATGTTAAGACTGTTACAGGCACTCAACTTTCTGGAGATGCCAGACCTCAGGGACAAGGTTTTCTTTAGAACACAGGAGTGGGAGTTCATGGCCTCCACAGAAAAGGGTGTTTAACCATGCCAACCCTATGAGCTGCCTGGGCTCTGGATAAATTCCAAGTCCTGTGGAGTGTTCCTACGATCTGGGACTAGAGCTATACATTTTCAACTTAGAAGTATCCCTCTGCCCCTCAGATTGCTGCCAGGGAGTCATACTGGGTACTCTGACTGGTAGGAGGGGCGGTGGCAGGATCCCCTTGAGGGCTCCACAACGTGCCTAAGGTCACTGGTCTAACAGATCAACAGGCTAGACAACTTCCAACTGTTCTTTTCTTTGGCTCTAGTCACTAACTTGTCTTTTTAAAAAAATATTTTATTATTTTTATTTTATGTGTATGAGTGTATTGCTTGCATATGAATAAGCACATCCATGTCATGCAATGCCAGAGGAAGTCAGAAGATGGCTCCAGATCCCCTGGAACTGGAGTTATGGATGGTTGTTAGACATCATGTGGGTGTTGGGAATCGAACCTGGGTCCTCTGCAAGAGCAGCCAGGGCTCTTAACTGCTGAGCTCTCTCCAGCCCCACTAACTTTTCTTGACTCCTACATACCTGGAGGATGTGCCAAACTACCAGTAGTTCCCCCACTACGAGTCCTAAGGTAGGCAGGTATTAACAAATGCTGATGATACCACATTAAAGGCAGGCACAGAATCAAGTGCAGGAGCAGGGCTGGGAATCATATCCTGCACTTGGGAGGCTGAGGCAGGGGGATTACCATGAGTTCAAGGCCAGCCTGTGCTACATACTAAAACCCTGTATCAAAAGGGCCCAAACAACATCAAGAACAGATCCCAAGTGCACAAGACATGAAGACACTGTTGGGAACTGCTGGGTACTGCAGTGCTTTCTGGATTTCGTTTGATGTGGCTTTATGTTAAGTATGCGTGACGGTTGGAAAGTGGCATTCTACTCAGTGTTTCTCTCCTCAGGAGTATGCAGCTGTGTACACTGCAACTTGTTAGACAAAAGTTCATGCTTAAGACCATACCATCTTGCTGGGTGTGGTGGTGCACACCTGTAATCCTAGCAGAGGTAGGTGGATCTGGATCTCTGTGAGTTTGAGGCCAGAGGCCAGCCTGGTCTCCACAGGGAATAATCCAGGCGTGCTGTGGCTACAGGAGACCCTGTCTCAAAAAGACAGAGAGAGAGAGAGAGAGAGAGAGAGAGAGAGAAGAGAGAACACGAACCATACCACCCTAAACACAATCAGCAAGGCATAGTAAGTGCAGAGGACGAGAGAGAGTGAGAGAGAGAACGAACCATACCACCCTAAACACAATCAGCAAGGCATAGTAAGTGCAGAGGTAGGTGGATCTCTGTGAGTTTGAGGCTAGCCTGGTCTACATAGCGAGCTCTAGGCCAGCCAGGGATGCCTAGTGAGACCCTGTGTCAAAACAAACAAAAAACTACTGGGGGGGGGGTAGGGAGAGAATCAAGCAATCAAGTTACCAAAAACAACAAAAAATAAGTAAAAACAAACAAAAATATAACAATGCTTTATGTAAGTTTATAGCTTTGTGTTGAGTTATATTTATAGCTATGCTGGGGTTCATGTGGCCTGTGGGTCAGAGTTTGGACACCCTTGTCTGTATAAAGAAAATTCAGGGCCTGTGAGATGCTCAGTGGATGAGATACATGTCATCAACCCTGATGGACTGAATTTGATCCCCAGGACCCACATGACAGAAGGAGAATTGACTGACGCATATTGTGGCATGTGTGCAGTGTATACACACACAATAAGAAAATCCACATTCTGGGAAATAAAGGCAGCAAACCAGATAAAAGGCAGGAAGAGGCAGACATAAAGAAGTATCTGGGCTCCTGGGGGCCTGGGGAGCCAGTGTTGTAGTCTACCCTGCGGTCCCCTCAGCCCCCTTCTGCTCCTAGGGTGAGCTCTGACTCAAGAGAGCTTGACCCACCTGTGCTGTGAGAATTAGCTCGTTGATGATGTGTGCTGCATGCTGACACCGATCTGGAGGGCCCATGACCTGTGCTGCTCTTTCTGGACTAATCCCGTCATCTGTGGAACCAGATGAGAAAGGGTTAGGAAAAGCCAAGGTAAATCTGACTCAACCAATATTCTGACTAAGAGCAAAGGGCAAAGAGACTGTCACTAGCTCCAGAGTCTTGGAGTGGTAAGAAAATGATTATGATTAGATCTTTGTGCATGTCTCAGAACAGTACCCAATTATTATATAAGTGTATCTATTTAGATACATGCCTGTAATCCTAGCACTTAGGAGGCTAAGGCAGGACCACATGAAGTTCAAGGTCAGCCTGAGCAACATAGTGAGATCTTAGCACTCCATGAAAGGTTTATCCTTTCTGTGGTATTAAATTATCTCTAACTATACAAAATCAAAATGATGGGCTTCTTTTTTTTGTTTGGATTTTTTTTTGTCTTTTTGAGACAGGGTCTCCCTGGAGCCCCAGCTGGCCTAGAACTCAGTATGTAGACCAGGCTGGCCTTGAACTCACAGAGATCCGCCTGCCTCTACCTCCTGAGTGCTGGGATTAAAGGCGTGTACCACCACGCCCAGCTAAAATGGTATATTTTTCAAAGAAGCCTTTATTTAGCAAGATTACAAACTGGAAACTCCATGCTGAAGTCTCAATAGTTGACTTAGGGGTGTAGAGTGTGGAGGAAAGGGTAGGAGAGCAGAAACCCTGGGCTAGAAAATTGACCAGGCCAGTATACAACCAAGGAGAGACATGACAACAGGGATGGAAACTACGACTGGACATATGGCAATAAGAGGCCTATGTGGGCTAGCATAGTGTGTTTTCTTAGGTGTAAAACTTAAACAGGATTTTGGATAATCATTGAAACGAACCTGGTTTAAACTGAATCCTCACACCAGCATCATTCTGGATCTTTTTGATCATTTCTCCATTTCTTCCTATTACAATCCCAACAGCAAACCTTGGCACAGATACCTAGACACAGAGAAACAAAATTTCAAGAAGGCTTCTGCAAATGTGGCCTTTTATTTTAAAGATTTATTTTTATTTTTTATTATGTGTGTGTCTCACTATGCATGTGAGAGCAGGTGCTTACAGAGGCCACAGGTATCAGATGGAACCCTCCCCCCAAACCTGGGGTTACAGGTGGTGGAGAGCTACCTGATCTGAGTGCTGGGAACCAAACTAAACTCAAGTCCTGTGCAAGAGTAGTATGTACTAGTTACTGCTAAGTCATCTCTCCAGCCTCTGGCCTTTTATTTCAAAAGGACAGATTTGAAAATAGACAACTCAGTTTTTTATTAGTGCAATTCTGGAAATGAAATAATAAAGCATTTTTTCCTTTTAGGAACAATATTGCGGTTGATGACTATATTCCTCACAACTCTATAAAATAAGTATAAAATCTGTCCAAAGTAATTCTAAAGAGATTCAAAATGATCAATTCATCTTCAAATTTTATGAAATAAGTACAAATATGCCATATTGATTATACCAGAGGTTCTTCAAAGTATGCTGCTTTCTTCATTTTTAAAACCATGTGTAAAGCACACAGGCAGCTGTAACATCTGCCATTCAGTCATTTACAGTGTGCAGCTGTGTAGCATTAGAACATCCGAGATGCTACGTGGGGATCACCATCACTACCCAGACCCTCAAGCTCTTCATCACCCAACTCTGTACTCACTAGCAATTCCTCTGGTCACTTTCATTCTGCTTTCTGTCTGTGACTACCTAGTGCACAGCTGTCCTCCTGTATTCTGTCTTAACGCACTAAGTATGATGTTTGTGTGCTCCCACACACTGTAGCATAAATGAAAATTACATTTTGAAGGGCAGATTCTGACCCTATTTCACCTCATCAGAATTCCACATTTGATATAATCATAACAAAGATCACTGAGAACAATTTGGCTGTTACCTGGGCATCAAGCTAAGCTTTTCAGGTAAAATCTTGAAACCACAGGAATCGACCCATCATGAAGCACAGGTGGCTCCTGACGCTTGGCCCCAGGCCTTCTTATCTCGGGGCAGTGGCCGCATTTCTTTTCTTTTCTTTTCTTTTTTTTGGTCTTTTTGAGACAGGGTCTCCCTGTAGCCCCAGCTGTCCTGGAACTCACTACGTAGACCAGGCTGGCCTTGAACTCACAGAGATCCGCCTGCCTCTGCCTCCCCAGTGCTGGGATTAAAGGTGTGTGCCACCATGCCCCACTAATGGCCGTAACTCTTAAGGGTTGGGACATGACACACATGCCACATAACCAGTTAAAGAGCTGAGCCGTGTGACCCGCAGCTCCAGCCCCACTCTACCTCTGATGCCAGCATACCTCTATACTGCCTCCTCCCACTCGGGAGCTGAAATCAGCACGTGCACCTCGGAAGTCGGCTTGCTCTTTCTCCCGGATGATCTCTAGTACCATCTCTCTTGCTTGCTGCACAAAGAAAGAAAGACACCATGGGGAAAGTCCTGGAAGGCCACAGAACCAGATGAAATGTCAACATCAAACACCGAGTAAGACTAGGATGCAAAGGTGCACAGCTGCAGAAGCAGAGGGCATGGACACTAACGCGGCACCAATGTTCAGAGAAGAGGGCCTACCCAGCTGCAGCTGGGTTAGCACATCTGAGATGTGGTCAGAAGTGTTTCCAGGCCGGGCATGGTACCTCCAGCACACCTTTAGTCCCAGCACTCTGGAGGCAGAGGCAGGTAGATCTCTGAGTTCAAGACCAGCCTGGTTTACACAGTGAGTTCCAGGCCAGCTGGGGCTTCAGGGAGACCCTGTCTCAAAAAGGGAGGGGGGAGGAGGAGGAAGAAGTAGTAGTAGTAGCGGTGGTGCTTCCAGTGCTCCAGGCATTTCTTGCTGTTGCTCCCCTTGGAGAGCGAGGGGTGCGGAAGAGCTCCACAGAAGAATGCAGCCTCTACCCAGAGGCACTCCAGTAAGGCGAGACAAAGGCAGACCAGGACACAGAGGCAGCTCAGACCCTCAGAGTTCTTATTTCTTAGCAAAACCATTTCTTGTTACCTGCAGTACTAGGGACAGAACCCAGGATCATGTACATCCTAGGCATGGGGCATACAACTGAGTGACCCCAGGCCAGCTTTCTGGTTCAGTGACTGAATTCCAGTAGGATGGTCAACAGATCTGACAGCATTCAAGGCAGAGCCCACTGTCCTCTCCCAAAGAACAAGCACATCCTTCCATACCTGCACCTGCGCACAGGAAGCTGCATGTTGCAGCACAAGGCGATGTGAGAACAGGGTTGGACCCCTGGTATAGCGTCTGACACCAACCAAACCCCACAAACAAGTCCAGAACATCTGGCGAAATGGACACCAAGGGGGTGTCGGACAATGCTGCAGAGTCAGTTTGTTTTACTATGGTTATTACTAGGAGACATGCTACAGGTGGAGGTGGACTGCCACACATCTGTCCCTGACAAAACAAAGAAAACACAGTAGAATGTCAGGCAGGCACAGGTCAGTGGCTGCTCACTGTGTTATCTTTTCTACTTTTTTATGTTTAAGTTAAAAAAAATCTATTACTACTGTGTATGTATGATGTGTGCATGTGTGTCACAACACATGTGACTGTGGTGGTCAGTTGACAGCTTTGTGATTGGAGTTGAAAGGATCTCTTCTCCACTTTTATAAGTTCCTGGGATAGAAGTCAGGTCCTCAGGTTTGCATAGCAAGTGCCTATACCTTCCAAGCCATCTCCAGCCCTGGAAGTTTTGCATAATAAACAGTTGAGAGAAAATAAAATGCCAGGGGATCTGGTGTTCGCCTTTAATCTCAGCAGTTGGGAGGCAGAAACGGGTGATTCTCTGTGAGTTCAAGGCCAGCCTGGTCTACATAGAAAGTTCCAGGGAGATCAACTCTGTCTCAAAAAGCAAAACAAAACAAAAGATAAACAACTTGGAACTAGCTTAATACTCAGCAGATAAATGTAACAGCTGCCAAGTCTGACCATTTGAGCTCAATCTCGATGACCACACGGGGAAGGAGAAAACCAACTCCTGCAAGTTTTCTTCTGAAGGCCACATGTGCACTTTGGCATGGGTACATCCACACGTAAAACCCTAGGCTCAATCCTAGGACTACATAAACTAGGTACAGTGGCTCATACCTATAATTCCAGCATTCAGGAGGTGGAGGCTGGAGGATAGGAGATTAAGGTCATTCTCTGCAACATACTGAGTTTGAGGCCAGTCTGGGATAAATGAGACCCTGTCTTTCTTTTTTTCCTTTTTGAGACAGATCTCCCTATAGCCTCAGCTGGCCTGGAACTCACAGAGATCCACCTGTCTCAGCCTCCCAAGTGCTGGACTAAAAGGTGTGCACCACCACGCCCAGCAAGACCCCATCTTAAGTCGGGCACCCTGCAGGAAGCAGTGCTCTGCATAGGTCAGAGCCATAGAGCCATAGAGCTGTAAGCAGTCTGGAAGCTTGGCTGAATGAGCCAGATCGTGTGTGTGCACACATGTGTTTGTACCTGTTACAAGGAGGCTAGAGGTCAACCTCAGGGGTCATTCTCCAAGAGCCATCCATCTACCATATCTCTGCCTCCTTTGTGCTGGGATTATAAGCGCGATGCCTGGCTTATTTTCACATGGGTTTTGGTAACTGAACTTGAGTGCTCATAACATGGCAAGTACTTTATTCACTAGGTCATCTCCCCAGCCCAGTCATTTGATTTTTAAAAGGCCCCGTTTATCCTTAAAGGAAACAGGAAGCTCTGGAGAAGAGGGCCACTGGAAGGCTCTAGCCTGAAGGAAAGATAGCGCCATCACTGACAGCCTAGGAAAGAACCACTGGGTCCCCATCCTGTCATCACATGAGGACTGCACATGTACACCCCAATGAGCTTAGCTAGAGGAAGGGAGGAAATGAGGGAAACCTTTTGCCAGGAACTGGTAACCTTTACTGGGTCAAAATTCCAATGCTCTTAAAGAAGCATGATCATGGCTTCAGCACTAGACACAGCCCAACATGTTCCTTACCACCAAAAGAAAGGCCCACCCAAGTATTTTATAATCACCTGAGCAAGACAATGCTCTGCGTTTTCATCAAGTCACAGTCCAACATCAAGGAGTTGCTCAATCCACCCACAGGCTTCTTCCTACCTGTACTTTGAATGGATCCCCTGTGATGCGGAGAGGCTTGTCTGCTCCTGTGGGCAGCGGACCATCCTGGATCATAACCATTTTCACACCTGTTCTCTCCTGTGGGGGAACACACAACCATACAGCCCTCACTGTCCTGCTGGGGTGGGGGTAGGGGTAGGGGAGAGAGATGCATGATTCCTCAAGAAGCAGGACTGAATCAGGTCTTGCCCACAAGTCTACGTCTCACCTCCCTCAAGGCATTGCCTTTTGACCAGGACCCGGGGCTGGCTTCTGGGAATGTAGACATACAGACCAGTACTCACAAGACAAAGTTCCAATGGGACACAGAAAGTCAAACTATTTGCTCCTCATTCTCCATTGCTAGACTATTTAAAGACGTCTGTGTTGCTCTTACTGAAAGCTACACACTCTGCTTAGTGCTGTCTGGTTAGAATTTATGCCCACCATTCAAGCCAAGTATTGCTGCCTCCTGGTAATAGGTGAAACGGCTTCTCAAGTCACCCAGAGTTCCAGGGCTAACAGGTGGTGGGCTGAAATTCGGATTCTGTGTTACCAACCTAAAGCTTTTAGAGTCTATGCCAGGCTGTGGGAGGCCGAGGGTATGAGTACACACAGGGCCCTCACCTGCAACCATGAAAGCCCCTGAGCTCTGCAGAAGCCTGTTTAGAAGTAACTCAGTGGCAGAACTGAACTCAGGCGAGTGTGTTCCCAGTGGTCTCTGCGTCAGTCTGGCTGCTCTCATGATCGTTGGGGAAAATATGTGCTGCCTTAGCTTGCTGGTATGTTCAGTCTCAAAGATGCTTGGACCTGGGTGTCTCAGATGAGGGATTCTGCAGCCCCCAGCAGCCTGCTCAGCGTGAGACGCATGAAAATAAGGGAAATAAGTGTATCATTTCAGCTCTGTGACAACAGCAAAGCAGGCACTTTTCTACACACAGGGACCCTGAGCCCTTGAAAAGCAAACGAGCATTTTAAAAGTCTTTATTTCAACCTCCTTGTGCATGTGTGTAGAAGCCAGAGCTTGACATTGAATATCTTGTTTAATTGCTCTCCATCTTTAAAAAATACAAACATAGCCAGGCATGGTGGTACACACCTTTAATCCCAGCACTTAGGAGGCAGAGGCAGGCAGATCTCTGAGTTCAAGGCCAACTTAGTCTACACAGTGAGTTCCAGGCCAGCTGGGGCTTCATAGTGAGACCCTGTCTATGTTTGTATTGTTTGTTTGTTTGTTTATTTATTTAGAGAGTGTATATGTATGTGTGTACATCCTGCAGTGCATACAGGGATCTGAGGACAACTTGGGGAGCCAGTTCTTATTTGCCATATGGGGTTGCCAGGCTCAAACTCGGGTCTTCAGGCTTGGTGGCAGGCACCTTCACATACTGAGCCAACCTGGCAGCTCTCACTAACCTGTAGCTCACCAATTTGGAGAGACTGGCTGCCCAACGAGCACCAGGGGTCCTCCTGTCTCCACCTACCCGGCGCTAGGCCCACAGGTGCATGCAGCCGTGCCAGAGTTCTATGTGGGCTCTAGGGATGCAAATGTGGGTTCTTGTGCCTAGGATGCACATGCTCTTGCCCACGGACACACCTTCCCAGCCCATGATTATTGTTTATTTTAATTTTATGTTTTTGGTCTTTTTGAGACAGGATCTCTCTTTAGCCCCAGTTGGCCTGGTACTCAGAGAGATCCTCCTGCCTCTGCTGGAATTAAAGGCACGCACCACCATACCCAGCTAGTTGTCGTGTGAGAGAGGGTCTCATTGCAAATATAGCGCAGGCTGGTGTCCAACCCATGATCCCCCTGCCTTACCCTCCTAAATACAGAGTGTACACCCAGCTATAAATGAGCATTTTTTGTTGTTTTTTCAAGCCAGGGTCTCATGTAGCTAAGGCTGGTCTCAAACTCACTCTCATGTAGCTGAGGTTGGTCTTTTAACTCCTGATCCTCCTGCCTCGGCCTCCCAAGCCCTGAGAAAACAGGCGTGAGCCTTCAGGCCATCTAAATGAGCATATTTAAGAGCACAGATCAACTAAGAGCAGAGTTCAGGCCCCAACTCCAGACTATTCTTTCAGCTGAGATGCTGTCCCACAATGGCACTCCTGACCCAGTCCTGACAGAGCCTTGTTACACAGTGGGTCCATGCCAGAGCACACCTGTCCCAAACACACGGCATCAGTATGTATCTGCCAAGGGGAGGGAGGACGCCTCCCCTGGGGGGCGGAGGTCTGGAAGAGAGCCAGGCACTACAGGATGCAAGGCAAGTTCAGCCAAGGACGTGGTCCTGAGCATCCTCCAGCTCGGTAACCCATGGTGCCCATGTACCTGTAACTGCTTGATTGTCTCTCCTCCTTTGCCAATGACCAGACCCACTTTAGACGCAGGGATGAGCAGCTCCTGGACTGTGCTGTTGCCATCCATGTCATTGTGAAAGCCAGGTCCATTCCGACAGCGGTCCACAATCTGCCCCAGGAGCCGTTTGGCTTGTCTTTGGGAGGGAGAAAAACCACAAGAGACCCAGCATTAAATGGGTGCTTGTCATCTGCTAGGGAAGAAGATGGTACCGGGGAAAACATGAAGGAGTCAAGTCAGCCCTCCAGCTCCAGCTCCTGTCTCATAACCTGGGAGGTCTCTGAGTCATTCGCCATGCTAAGGGACTGGAATTTAAAAGCAACACACACCACAACACCACGGTTTCAGTGCAGAGTCTCAAGAAGCAGGCCACGGTCAGAGGCTGTGCCCTGCGTGTCTGTCCTCTGCACCTACCTGGGTCTCCACAAACAGCCTGCCTCCTACTGAAATGTCGGCAGCTCTGGTGGCAGGAACCTCCTCTTAACCCTTTGCACATCTCTGTTCCCCAATCCAGCACAACCCTCTCACAGGGGAAACACTCAGCACACACTTGTTAAACAAGGGCAGGGGAGAGAAAGCATGAGAAAGACGGGAAGAAAGCAAGGGTTAGTAGTTACCGCTTGAATTCCCCAACTCCAGACTCCCCACGACAGCAATGCTGCTCTAGGACTTCGAGCTAAGCACACAACCTCCGGTGTGGTTCCAAGGTGAGGGGCGGAGGGTCAGTGTCCTGTCGCAGCCTCGTAGGGACCTTGTGCATCACACATGCTTGCTATCTGCCTTCATTTCTGCAGTGTGGCCACAGTACGACCCAGCCTACAGTGGCACCATTGGGACAAATTTCCTTTTCTTCACCAGAACCTCCCCTGGCTGTTATTTGCAGAATTTATTCTTTTTAAAAAAAATATTTTATTATTTTCATTTTATGTGCATGAGTGTATTGCCTGCATGTATGTGAGTGCACCCGTGGAGGTCAGAAGGGGGCTTTGGATTCTCCTGGAACTGGAGTTAAGGATGGTTCATAGCTGCCATGTGGGTGCTGGGAATCGAACCTGGGTCCTCTGCAAGAGCAGTCAGTGCTCTTAACTGCTGAGCCATCTCTCCAGCCCAGAACTTATTCTTTTAAATCACCACACACCATCTATTTTTTGGTTCCTCTGATAGAGATGGATTTGGTTACCAAATAGGCTGGCTGTGCTGCTCCCTGGAGAAAATGGGAGAGTTTCCTCCCAAAGCTATAACCTAGCACCTCAACTCCTCAGGGGACACAAAGTAGGAATGCTTAGGAGAGTGGGAAGGAAGGACAGAGGGAGGAAAGAGATGCTGTCCTTTGCAGTCTTGAGCTTTTGTGTGCAGTCAGCTTGCGGGCTCTCAGCTGCAGCAGCTTTTTAGTATTTTGCTAGTGTACTAGATTAACCTGTGCTGGAAAAAAATGCTGAGACTCCAGCAAAATCGTCCAGCTTGCCCTGTAATGCACACCTGCCAGTGCTGTTTATTCTGGTTCAGCGCTTGCAATGTTACAGCAGAACAAGAGAATTTCAGCTCATCTAGGCTCCCTGAGAAATGGAGACAATAAAACAACCTACCTATTGAGCCGGACATAATCTCAGCTGCCCTGTCCCCTAGTGCAGCACTACTTCACAGACTGAAACAGGAAAATGAGCTGACTCTGGTCAGCACATCCCCCTTCCTCAGGAGGTTCTTGGATTTACTCGGCCTGCATTTGGTCAGGGTTCTGAGCCAAGCAGGTACCAGGACAGGAACGCAATGCAAGCACCAGGGCTCTAACAAGGGCCTACGAAGTCAAGGCACCTGCTGGCTGGTCCACATGGCTCTGTGAGTGGAGCAGAGGCCAGCCAGAAAGAGTGGATTCACTTGGTTCACATGTATCACAACGGTAAGGGGATCTATCCACCCAGGCTAAAGACTTGGTGCCCAGTTATCTGTAGCTCACAGTGACAGGTCTTCTGACCCAGCCCTGCTCAGGTAAAGGAGTTGTTAACAAGGAGGACATGGATTAGCACAGTTGGACGGGGTGAGTGTCCACTCCTGAGACCCTGATTTATGGAGGTGTCTTGACAGCTGTGAGGCATTTTGTAGGCTTATGTGTTTGAGGTAATGAGCTGCTGGCGCGGCAACACAAATCTTTCCTACTGGAGCATCTGCTGTGGGGCCAGGCTGCAGCACAGATCAACAGTGTTCGATGACAGTTTTGCCCTTCCATTTCTCCCCATTTGGGGAAGGAGGAAGAAGAGTGAAAGAAAAAAGTAAATAAAATAAACTTACTCAATACTTTCTGGGGTTCCGGTAAGTACACAGGGCCTCTCTGGAATCCCAGAACTCTCTATAAGAAGAATCAAGAAGATGAGGTGTGTTGGTGGGCATCAGGCAGCCATGTGCCTTCGCCTCTGTGTGCAGACTGTCTCTCTGGGGCTGATTCCTACACCAGCCCCACAGAAGCTCAGTCTCCCCAAAAGACAGTTTGCTTTGCTGGGGGACAGAACATTAGTTCTCAAAGTGGAGACAAGTCCCACAGGGAGCTGGAAGGATGCAGCAGAGGTTGTGAGTTGGTCTTGGTTACCGACCTCCACTCATTCCTGACCCTCCCAGAAGCTCCTCACCACCTGATCTCCTCGCCTCGCCATGCTTCCCTTGGCTCTGCACCTGAAGGGCAGTTGCATGGACGCAGGTTTGCAAACTGCTCTAAGGTAGACTAGTAAGGACTCCACAGTGAACACATCAGGATTACACCAGTTATTACATCAATAACCTGAGAGATTGGTGACGTGTGTGGAACTGACCCTGAGCCATTTGACAAGAGAGGAAAAACCTTTCTTTCCAACACCACACCTGGTGGTTTAGCTTGATCCAAAAACCACTTAAAATTCTTCCTCAAAAACTTGAAGCACGGGGCTAGGGACGTACTGTTTGCCTAGCATGTGTGAGGCCCTGGGTTCACCCCCAGCATCACAAAAACAAAAACCTTAAAGACAAACAACTACAGTAGTTACTGCCTTCAAGACACCGTAACGAGTATCTTTAAATGACAGACATTTCCTACCTGTCTGCAGACCCTCTCCAATGGAAGGAGGTCACACTCAAAGGACATAATAATAAACTACAAACATAATGGAACTGCTCTTCAGTCAGTGTCTCTGCACATCAACTAGTCAGAACTGACCCTGTTTTAAGAGGTCTTCAACTGTGTCTGACACATACTCAATCAGTCAGAACCCCTACACAAAGTGGAGAGATGGTCCTGCGTAGGGAAACTGGGTGCAGGCCCCACTACAACTGGCATCATATTCTGGTACAGAAAACACAGAAAGAGGCCATGCTGGCCACAGAGCTAAGCAGCTGCCCTAGAAGGCAGGCCTCATCCCCAGACTGGCTTTTGCTCTGCTACTTGGTGGGAGTCCCACTCCAGCAGCATCAGGAGGCAGCAACCGTACATACTTACCCTAGCTTCTAAGCAATAAGCAAAAGGTACTGCATCTGGAAAATTTTGCAAACTACTGATTTCTAATAAACTGATTGATGAAAAAAGCAGCCCTTACCTGAAGCAATCTGAATTTTGCAACCAGATTCTGCTTGAATCCGTGAAATCTGCTCACCTCCCCTGCCAATAACTGCAACAAATGGAACAGGGTTAGAACATGCTTCCCGTTCCGTATTTAAGCATGCACGAACACTGAATTAGTTCAGGCAGTATTTACAACCCACTTGCAGCACACAACAAACCAAGCGGCCTCTGTGAGCCCGTCTCAACTCTTGGGCATCACACACAACAGGTAACAGGAGACTCTAGCTGGAATGAGCTGCTGAGAGGTGGCCAGGCCCCGCTACTCTGGTTCTGCTGGCCTGGAGTGTCCTGAGTACTCCCAGGTGGTCCAGAACACACAGGAGGGTCTCTAACAAGTGACATGCACATGCCAGAGATCACGATGAAAAGAACAACCACGAATTAGGGGCAGATACTTACTAAATCCAACCATTTTATCAGGCACTTTGAATTCTTCTGTTATTACTGCCCTAAAAAAATGTTTTAGAAAGAGTTCAGAATTCTGCAATCACTTTGGAACCCAAGGTCTGATCTGGCCTCCCTTCCCAGGCCCCTGGAGAGTGTCATTTCACTACCCCTTTGGTCAAGCACACCTTGAGAAGATCAAAGTCTCTGATATGCCCCTGTCAAGGAGAAACTTCTAGATCCTTAAAGCCAACTCCTCTACTACTGGCCTGTTCTGCATACAGCTGCTCTCTAGCAGCAGTGCAGGGCCTCTCTAGTGGTTGGGCCATCAACCCCAGGACAGTTAAAGATGAGCTGAGGTTTGGAGTGATGTTTAGTCATCTATTAGGGTGTGCTCTCTAGATAAACAGATACTCAAGTTCAAGAACTCTGGTTTCCCAATCTTTTTGTTGTTTCCTGGCCTCCCTCCGACTTATCTCTATTTCCTAAGGTGAGACACCCCAAAAAGAATCAGTGTCCAGCAGAGCCTAATTGGTACTGACTGGGACAGAGTAATCACCTAATGCGCTCTGAGGGACTTCTGTTAAATCCTATCCCACCCATCATAGGTGCCTTCAAAAACCAAAAAAGCCTACTCCTCTGCCTCTTTCAAACAAACTCTCAAATGTGCCATACAGTGTATTTTGGACAATATCCAATTTGCCAAAAGAAAGCAATTAAATCTAAACATTTACCTCAAGAAGAAGCTAAATGCAAGTAGTTAAATTTTTTTTAAAGGCAAGCATTTTTAAACATCTCTCACAGCTGGATTTTTACCCATCAGAGAAGATCGAATAAAATGCATGTTTTTAGGGAAAGTGCTGTACTTAGAAGAAATGCAATAGCATAAATAGCACTTGCCACTGTATCACTGTGACAGGAGCCAACAGCCCCATCCTCGGGACATCCACAACCCTCAGCCTTGTGTATAAGGAGGATAGTCTCCCTTACTTCTCTCTCTCTGGGCATACAAACGTTCATCCAGTTCTAAGTAGCCAATTCCTGGTATCCTAATTGCTGAGGAAGCCAACACCATCCCTCAAGACCTAACGACCCCTAGCAGAGGCCAGGCCTGCCAGGCCATGCTGCTGCCACTCCTGATGTACGTGGGGCTGAGAGCTGCTGTGCCCACCATGCGCAGCACAAGCGGCCTACTTGTGGAAAGTATTTTATAGGAGCTGATTAGAGGGCTTTTGACATTGCCATAGTGGGAAATGTGAGGCTGGGTTCAGTTCAGTGTAGAGGCATGCTCATAGCCTCGGCTCATTCCCAACACTGGAAAAGAACAAACAAGGCTGGGCACGGTGGCACAGGCTTTTAATCCCAGCAGAGGCAGAGGCAGGTGGATCTGTGAGTTTGAGGCCAGTCTGGTCTATACAGAGTTCTAGGCCAGCAGGGTTTACATAATGAGACCCTGCCTCCAAAAACAAAAAAATCCAAAAAATAACAATAAAAAAGGAAAATGCCTCAGAGCACGGCAATTCCCCAGTCCCAAAATAACATTGGCTGACTCTGTGGAAGGTACCAAGATGAGCCACTATGGGCTTTCTGTAAGAAAAAAGGCTCTCTCTCTCTATCTCTCTGTATGTGTAAGAAAGACAGACAGACAAGGTCTCACTATGTAGAGCAGGCTGGCCTGGAACTCAAAGATACCCCCGCCTCTGCCTCTTGAGTGATAGAACTGAAGTCATGTACCCCATACCCAGATCAAAGGCTACTCTAAAAACAAGGCTGAAACTGGTCTCAAGCATTAAGCACAAACATTCAGAAGTAACATCCTAATTACAGCTTAAAGTAAAGTCAGCATTTGATATTAACAACCACCTCATTTCAATTATTTTAACTCATTAACAAACAAATCAAACCAGAGTAAATCAGTTAACTGACTTCTGGTGATGTCTAGAAACTCCCCAACATGCATGCAGCATACCGGGGGCAAAACTATGTTACTGGTCATGCTGATTAATGACATATGTTACAGTAGTAGGGTGTGCCAAAGAGAGCTGCCATGGTCTCCTGGGCTTTTCTCTCTGCATGGCTGACACTGTGGCCACAGACACCGTTTACTGCAGACTGGCCTTTTAAAAATTCAGGGTCTTTGTATACCTCTAAGTCCTCTACTTAATGAAGGCTATGAGGAGAATCAGAGGTAGAGAACTAGCTAGGTTCTTAGGCAAAATTCTCCAACAACCTCAACTCCAGGGTATAGGAGCCCTGGCTCGAGGCCCCCACAGCCTGCTCATGCTCTGCTCACCCAAGTCCTGTACTTGAGGATGCAGATTCCTAAGGAACTGGGAAATCCACAGAACTAGACAACTGACATTCTCTCCTTTCAAATTTAATCTCCAATGGAAGAGAGCAACTCCACCATTTTGAAAGTCTCTTAAGGCTCAAAGGGGCTGGCTTCTATTACCTCATGTCAGTCCGTTCCTTTGGCCTATACTGTTTTGGGGAGGGTTGGCAGAAACCGTGGGTCTGAAGGAAACTTAGCCCCTGGCTTCCCACATTCCCAACCTCTGACTTGCTAACACTCCAGTGCAGATGGTGGATCAATAAACAATTAGAAATGATCAATAAATAATAAAACATAACCCACTGCTTACCTTTGATGTACCAAGGCCCCTAACTGGTTACCTACTGTGGCAAAGAGAAAGAGAAAAGAAAAATCAAAGCATTAGCACGGATAAACTAACTTCATTCTTACGCGAGTTCTTAGTGGGGGGCGGGGCAGAAAGAAAGCAAACAGCAATTTAGGCTCAGTGGCTGAAATGAGTGCGTTATGTGATATAAAGCAGGAGGGGGCGTCTTGATCAGCCTCTAACCCAGTGTCCAGCTGAACGCAGGATAAGAAATTGATCTGTGTGTCCACATGCTGAGAGGCCTGGGAGAAAATCCTGCCTGCCTAAATCCTCCTGTCGGCCTCCTGCCCCGCATCCCAACCCAATGTAGAGACAGCAGGTCCTTCTTGGTCTTTAAAACCCAAATGAGAAGATTTGCCCTCCTGGATGCATTGTTGAAGACTGCTGCCAGGCAGCTGCAGTCACTGGGAACATGCACATATGTTCCCTCCTGTCATTTCTTTGCCCAGCACCAAGAGCTCCAGAGAAGGACCAGGCTCCTCCCTCCTGTGGCCACTTCTCCAGCCCACTTCACAGAGACGACAGTGCCAACAGCCTCTCACGCTAATCCTATTCCCACAGAACCACTCGGCCAGGCTCTTTTTCCAGTCTCAGCTATCGATGGGCACCTCCTGGACTAGCCATCAGCAGAAATGACTCTGTGCTATTTCTTTTGGAAAAGGCAACTCAAGAAATACAGTCAGCAGACAAGGAGAAAGGGCAAACCTGATCACAAAGAACTGAAACGAACCTTCTAAGATGCTGAAGGAGAACATTCAAAACTACGTCTCTGGGGAACATAATCGCAAGGATTCCTGGAGAGAAGGGAGAGTCAAGTACATCAACTTCTAGAGGAAGAGCAAAAAGATTTAACATCGCAGTACCACCCAACTGCTGCTTCCTGTTCAAACCTAACCCTGCCATTTTCTGGGCAGCTGTGGGTCATAAACAGACAAAGGAAAACAAAGGAGACCGTGACATTCTGAAAGAAAAGCACAGAGAAACAATGTAGCAAAAAGTGAACTGCTGAGTTTATCGAAGCTATTGAGCCAGAAAAAAAATAATGTATTTGCGCTGAATCAATAACACGATGACAGTCCACAGCCAAACTGTTGACACTATACACTGTTAATCTGCTCATCTCAGGGATAAGAGAGTTGTTTTTAATTGACTCGCAGAACTTTCTTCGTGCTTATTCAGTGCTCACAATCCCCAACGACATGACACCTGGACAGTCTCCAGTTTGGGAAAGGAATCCCCTTCACCGACTCTGCCAGAGTGATTCAAGAACTGTCCACAGAAGGAAAGGATAAAATAAAATGCCAAGGGAGGGAGCAAGGACAACGGGCAGAGGGGTGGCAGGCTACACAATGCTCCATGCCTGGAACTGCAGCACTCAGGAGGCTGAGACAGAAGACTGCCAGGACTCAAGGCCAGCCTGGGCTACAGCTTAGCTTAGCTCCCCAATCTCCACCAGAACCCCTTTCCTACAGGGCGAAGAGACCACCAAACACAGAACTGAATGCCCATAGATGACAAGAATGAAGACCTGCACTGAGTCCTCAGTGAGGGCTACATGGCAGACAGCTGGCCATGGCTCAGACACCAAAAAGCTGATGATCTTCAGCTATGACTGTCTCCAACAGACAAGCGACAGAAACAGAGCAAAGGGCAAGTGAACCGTAAAGAACCCAGTGAGTGAGGCCTACAGGACACCCCAGGGCTTCTTTCTGGTCAATCACCATCGCATTGTCTGTGCTCACGAGAACAGAAACTCCTTTTTGTTGGCAAAGTGTATGTCACCAGTACCATCTCTCACCAACTGCCTCCATGCTTTGTGAAAGTGCTCTGAAAGCCCAGTCACAGCCCGGCACACACCATCACCCTCAAATACACAGGCTTCGAGATCACAGCACCTGGAGCAAAGCCAGGTTCCACCAAATCAGTGCTGGGCTTCACTCAGGAAGGCCAAGGAGTCCAAATCGTTTCGCTCTTCCCCACACCAGCTATACTAGAGTGGCTCCATGCTTCTTCTCTTAGGAGACTTTCCTGTTTCGTGCCCCAAAATGGAAGCCACAGTGAGAAGGGGCTCAGGAACTACAGACCCAACTGACATGGCCAGCTCTAGTCCCCTCCATCCTCCTGTGAGGAGGGCCACACTAAGGAAGGCGGGAACGTCCATCAAGCTCAATTTAATCACAACTATAGCTGTGTTACTGTAAAAAAGGAGCAGGGCTGAATAAAATCAGTTCTATTTCACAGTAATGGCGCGCACTAGTTGAAGGGCTTCATCCTCCTTCCCGCGTCCCCGTAGCTCAATTCTAGCACTCCTGAATGTACAGACGGCTCTCCTTGACCCTGTGCACTGCACAATGGAAGATTGCCTGGGCTGAGGAGGGAAAACGAACTTCTCATAGCCAAGAGGCAGCTGACAAAGTAAGATAGCCTTTCTGAAGAGCAATACCTACTATTTTCAATAATAATCTTAAAAAAAAAGCATAGTATCAGACATCCCATGAAGAGGGGGAAAAAGCCTTCATACCCTCCCCCAAAAGAAATGCTAACAAAGTATTACTGGGCAACAAACCCAATTTTATAACAGGCAGCAACTTTAATAATCACCTGCCTCCCCTGACAAGTCCCACGCTCAGCTCAAAGGCTGCTGAGCAATGGCAGCTAAGAGGCTCCAGCAGAAAGTAAGAATTTCTATGTTTAGCAAAAAACCAATTTCCCTTTCAGATGTTGTAATCTGTGTGCATCGTGTCTATGTGTGAGTCCACGTGCTCATGTGTGAGAGTGCAGGCACACACAGAGATCAGAGGACAACTTCGGGTGTCAGTCCTTGCTGTCCACTTGCTTACAGGTCTCCTGTTCACCACTGTGTACTGAGGGCTAGCTGGCCTTTGAGCTACAAGAGAGCCCCCGTCTCTATTCCCACCTCATGAAGAATGCTGGGATTGCACTCAACACCAACAGACCAAGTTGGGCTTTCCATGGATCCTGGGGCTCAGAGCGCAGGTGTCCACGCTTCCATGGCAAGCGCTTTACTGAGCTACTGCCTCAGCCCCGTCTTCAAATTCCAATAACCTTCCCTGTGGCCCTCTTTGGTCCCGTCTCTTCTGTGACCAGTGCTTTCCCAGCCCCAGTTAAGGCCAGTGATACCCAGGTGGCTGGCTGGGGTGGGGTGGGGCACAAAGGCTTCCCGTGTCCTGCAGAGCAACTCCTCCTCCACACCACAGAGCACTGCTAGCTGAGCTCAGCTGAAAGGCCTCGGGCACGGAATCTGTTACTTAATTTGCCAACTACTTAACTTTTAAAACATTTTTTTTAAAATTTATTTTTATGCCAGGTGTGGTGGCACATGCCTTTAATCCCAGCACTCAGGAGGTAGAGGCAGGTCTGCCTGGTCTACATAGTGAGTTCCAGGTCAGCTGGGGCTACAGGGAGACCCTTTCTCAAAAAAGATGAAAAGTTTATATGTCTGTTTTGCCTGTATGTAAGTGCACCTGTGTGTGTAATGACCTTGGGGGCCAGAAAAGGGAGTTGGATCCCCTGGAGTTACAGATGGTTGTTAGCTACCATGTGGGTGTTGGGACTTGAACCCGGGTCCTCTGCAAGAGCAGCCAGTGCTCTTAACAGCTGAGCCACCTCTCCGGTCCAATTATTTTTGAAAAGTAAGAGTAGAGAGGTAGAGACAGAAGAATTGACGGTTCTAGGCTAGTCTATGTGGTAAGAACAGTTAGTTTTCAGATCTTCAATGCTAATTCTGCCCACTTTTCTGAGTCCTGGGCAAAAACAGTAATTCTCCCTTTTCCCTTCCCTATCCCTTTCTTTGGGTCCTGGCCAGAATGCTAGGCATGCTAGGGTTGGGCTTTCTCACTCTGAAGTCAGCCCCTGTTCCCACACTGGCCTGGCCACTCTTCATTCAGGGAACACAGGAGCTTTTTCTCTCTCCCTTTCCCGCATCTACATTCAGGTAGCTGCCTGCCAGGTCCTTTCTCTCAAACTCAATTAGAATAACAAAAAGTGAAGATGAGCCAAGCACAGGCCTGTTCTTCAATTAACAGAGAGACAGAAGCAAGAGAATCAGGAGTTTAAGGTCATCCTTAGCTACTGAGTTCTAGACCATTCTGGGTCACACGAGACTTTGTCACCAACCAAACACCCAAACAACAACCAAAAAAACCAGAATAAATTCAAGTTTGTGTCCATGTCATTCCTGCTTGTTAACGAGTTGGAAGACCAGCAGCATCAGCAGCCAGATGCCTCCTCATTTGGAGCACCTGCATTGCCCTAAGGGGAGATAATGACACTAGCACTCTCCATAGAGAGATCTGCCATGATCTTGGGGCATTCAGCATCCTTTACTTTGTAGGTGCCAAGGATGGAACCCAGGCTCTACACTGAGCTGCAACCCCCTAATCTGTAATACTTTATTCTTCATCCTTACAAGTTGAGGCGATAAGTGTTGGGACACTGACAGGTCCTTGGGACAAAACAGTAACTGGTAATCTGTGCCCCCCAGAAGCTTAAGAGTCCAGTGAGGAAAACAGAAAGCTGGCTGATTAGTCAGTCTCCAGGGAAAGAATGTATCAGGAACTGCACCCCTCCGCCAGTATGCCTGCTAAGCTAAGGCCTGACCCAAGAAGCAACAGAGTGACACTAACAGAACAGGAATCAGCTGCTGCAGAATTTATAGCACTAAGCTGCATTTCATTTAAGCATGGACACGAAATTAACATGGCTTTCTCAAAAAGGAAACAAAATATACTGCACAGTAAGAGTTTACTTCAGTTACTGTGTTTTCATGTGTACACTAACTAGCTCTGATAGAAACAGGATCACATTGTGAATATGTTTCAAAGTTTAAATACAGTTTTTTTTGTTCTGTTATTGGCAGTGGACTGAACTTAGGGCCTCAAGCTCACTAGTCAAGTGCTACAATTTCAGTTATCTTAAAAACATCCTGATAAGTCCCCACAGCCAATCTTATGACAGGTTTTATGAGCTGCCTCTCTA